CTTGGCAATCAAACTAACGGTCTCATTTTGGATACATCTCGAGTGGAGCGCCTTCTTTGGATGCGGTCAAGTACTTCGAACGTTCACCGAAAATCGTAAAGGTTATGACGTATGGAGCATCAGAGCACATAACTTTGGTTGAATCGCCACCGTCAAGTCGTAAGTTTCCTTCCTTCTCAAGAAACAAACAAATCTACCGGCCTATCTTTCATATATGCTTCATCCTTGCTCGAATCGCAAGACGGAGCTGGTCTAGTGGCAAGCGATGCAGATCCACCACGCATGGTCTCGGGTCGAATTATGGATCCCAACTGGGCCTATAAAACCTTCCATCCAATTGGGTTCACTTAGTAGGCAACAGATTCGTAAGGGGATTAACCAGCTGGCTATCACAAGTCCCACACGTCGTTGTTTAGGCCCACGCTCATTCAAATGGTCATTAAGATTCTGAGTGGGAGTCGGATTCGAGGAAGGCATCCTCGAACGGGATTCATGCCAGAGACTTCAAGACCCTCCTTCTTTGGAAGAGGACCATTGATAAAAGTCTAGTAGGGTGAAGGGTGTTCTCTAAAAGGAAATATGATTGAAAAGACGCTAGATACAGGCTTGACATGAGAGCCCTGGACAATTTGCAATAAAACAGTCATTGTAAGCCATCGTAAGACTTTATAGGCACTTCGAAGGAGTTCTCAAGTGGTAAAGAATGTGCTGAAGATTTACTGATGAAAATGATTGAAAACGGTCCTCGAGAATTTGCATTTGATCGAACACAGCTTCAAAGAGTTCTCCGTATGGCTGCCAAAATATTTCTCGAAGAAAGTACGCTGCTGGAGGTGGGTGATGGAGCGGAGAACGGCGGTCTGCCCTCATTTCTCTTCCTCAGTGCATAATTTTACATTTAGATTCCGCTACCTACTATGATATATGGGGATACACATGGCCAATACTCGGATCTTCTCCGCTGGTTCAATCTGAACGGTTGGCCACATGAAACTCGGTACTGCACCTCATTTTTGGCTAGGGGTTTACAGATAATTCGTTACTAGTAAAGACGCAATGTTTGAAGGACTGGTTTGCTTCAGGTGCGTCTTTCTGGGCGATTTCGTTGACCGAGGTTCACACGGTGTCGAACTGTTCACACTACTTACGTGCCTAAAGGTGAGTTACTGAGGATTTGTGTGAAGCACCTACCTGAAGGGTGAAGAACAAAGTCATTGGCGTTAATCAATCCCGTTTTTGAGATACGCCATGTACTTAACCTCCATTCAGAATCGTAGTGGCTCTTTGAATGGGTATATAGCCTATTCAGTGGCTGGGCAGCCTATGTATAAGAGCTTTTATCCTCCCAGACGAGTCTGGAACCAATCAACCGAGCTCAGAGGGGGGATGGAAGGCTGTGATTGACCGGCTACCAAACCAAGATTCGAGTGTGTCATAGTGCGCAGCTTGTTCCTACATCACCTCGGCGTCCAAATGATTTGCTTGCAGAACAGCCCGCGATGCCAGCATGTCTGATCCTTGGTGGTTTTGTGTTAGGAATTGAGTTAAGGCCTTTAGGTTTGTTTCCCTGATAACATCTTCGTCATACGTGGGAATCATGAAGAGGAAAGCCTGAACCAGTTGTACTCGTTTGCCAGCGAAGTTCATACCAAATTCGAATGTGAGTGGTTCTGAGAAAGGCTTAACCAGCCTCCAATCAACTCCCAAATAATTTTCAGCCAAAATGCATAACACCAAGCTATATAAAGAGCCTATGTATGACTATTTCAAGAACGTTTTCATGAACCTACCTCTTGCTTGTGTAATTGGAGGCGATATTCTGGCGATGCACGGAGGGATCAGTCCGAAACTGAGATCTTTGCAAGTACGTAAAGTTTCGAGTACATGAAAGACATACTCAGATCCAAAGCCTGTTTCAGGACATACGCGATATACGACGTCCCATTGAAGAGTTCATGAAAGGGACCCTTGCGTGCGATTTAGTTTGGTCGGATCCTGACACATTGAACAACGTAGTTGAGTTCGAACCTAATCTGGAAAGGTACAAATGTGATGTCTAATAGTAGCCTTCATACTTGTATAACGGCGTTCAGCATCATCGATAAATGGTAGAATTCACTTGGTGAATAGAGAAAAGTTCCGCCTGGCATCACGGGTGCTATGAGCGCTGCGCACCTTACTTCATTTTTCTGTTTGCTGCCAGACAGCATAACATAGCGTCGTAAGCATGGGAGCAGACAACTACATGGTTCTTTTTTCTGAGGGCGTAGGGTGCAGTCGAACTTTTGAAAAGCATAGTTGGAAAAGAGAGTTATGCACTTCTAAAGAGCGCGGCTTGTTCATGGTACAAGGAATTCCTTAGAAAGAACAGGGTCACGACAACCGATAGTCGTGGATAGTAGAAAACCAACTGAAAAACCATTATCAAACCAGGAACCTTCGTTTTCCAACAGTCATAAATATCCGTCATTTAGAGAGTCAACAGAAGGCATTGGACAACTTTTTTCACAGTCAGCTGTGAAAGCTGCATGTAAGAGACTGAACGTGAAGATGATTATCCGAGGACATCAGGTACGTGATGAACACTATACATTTACAATGACAATAGTCTTCCATGGTGAACCAATAATATTATTTAAAATGTGATAAAGTAAGGGTAGGAGACAAGCAGCTCACTGTCGCAAATTCGCAGTGCGGGTATGGCTGCTTTCATAGTCCGCCGGCCGGCCGGCCGGCCGGCGCGCGTGCCGGCCGGCCGGCCGGCGTGCCGGCGTGCCAGCGAGCNCGGCGGAGGCAGTGCTAGGGGGAGGAGGGAGGCAGACAATGTAAGACAAACAGTCCACGCCCCTTCGAAGGTTGTTTGTTTTCAACCCCTCGAAGGGGCGTGGACTGTTTGCCTATCTGTCTGCCTCCCTCCTCCCCGCTGCTAGCACTGCCTCCGCCGGCACGCACGCCGGCACGCCGGCACGCCGGCGCGCCGGCCGGCCGGCGGACTATGAAAGCCCCAGATCAACCAAATCGTTGACCACTCTTGAGTCGGCTCTTCCGCTCGGGGTATCGTCGAGTATTGTAGGTTACAACTAGGTGTCTAATCACTGGGGCCTCAGGTTCGAATCTTGCCCGGAACAAGTTCTTCGGCTGGTACCCTACAGCATTTATGCAGTGATGTGATTCCGTTGTTCAGGCTCCCCTACATGGTTATGCTCGTTGGGCAAATGGTCTTCTTATTACGCTATTTTCGGCTCCAGCTTATAAGGGATACACGGAAGACACAGTGAACTTGGGAGCATGCATCGAAGTCCCTGTCAATGGAAATCTTGTAGTGAAACAGGTTTGAGTTGAACTGCTATTTTTCTGTAGTAAACTATCAATTGAAAAATGCTATTTTCAGCTCAAAGTAACTGAGAACATGCGTAAAAGGCGTGCTGAAGATGTTCACAATCGCCAGAAATCTAGATATAATCCAAACGATAACTACATCAATTATCTACCAACTTCAGCAACAAACAATCATCCACTGAACCAAACAAAAGTCTATAGTTTTTAGAAGATATGATTGTGAGAAATTGTTGCTTGGATGTTATTAAACCTTATTATTATTATTTATGACATACACAAAGCGTGCATGGGAATCTGGACAAAAGTCTCTGGAAATCTGAGTAAACAAGCTAACAAACAAAACAAACCCTTTTGTTTCCTTCTTGTACACATCGGATGTATCATCTTCTCATACATCTAGCTTGAGCTCCCTCGCGGGGACTTACCCTTCCCCTTTTAGTTCTTCTTGGACCTCAATTTGAGCACAACGCCCGTCCCATAGGCGGTCCGGTTCGATGACCGCTTCAATAACCAACTACATATCAAGGTATTAGTACGACGGTCAGACTTCTTCACGGAACCTCTGAATGAATGGGATCTTGAGCCTCGCGTATCTGAAGCGAGTACGATTCACTGGACCACATAGATGATACCCAAGTACTAGTATAGAAGGACTTCAATCAGATCCAAGCTTCTAAATGAGAAACAGGTGTGGAGGATTGAAAAACTGGTTCCTTCCACTTTGTTTCTCCTTATGCCGCGTCATGGAAACTTAGGAATGACTTTAAGTGGGAAGATATGGGGTGACTACGAAGTCACCTTTCGTCGAGCCCTGTTGCCATTAGTGTCAGTTGCATGAATGGTGTGAGAGGCTCGGTGAAAGACTTGTACTGCTCCTTGCACGATCGTCAGACCCAATTTCATGTAGGAGGAGCTGAAGAGGTCCCTAAGCAATCCAGTACTGAAAACGAAGTCAGGTGGAAAAGACTACTCTTAACGCTTCGAGTACCAAGTTGATTATTGGACCACTCCGAGGTCACAAAGCTTCCACTAGTGGCCGTTACATCTGCTGTAGTACCGAGGTGGAAAGGGAGGGAGGGNGGGGGAGAGAGGGGTGTTATTACCCTCAATTTAACTGGACCGTTCCCCTTAGTCGATCTCTATATTGACCCTTAATCACAGCAAGGGTTATCAGTATCCAATGGAGGGTGATTTACTGACCGGTACACCGGTCAGTCTCAGGACGTTAGATGGCTCCTCCACAAGCGGTCGCTGGCGAAGGCAAGTAGTTCTACCGGCTTTTCCGCTGGTCACAAAGCTCATGAAACTTTCCTTCTATGGGTATCAGTTTTCAGAGCTGAAACCTCCGGAAAACAGCGAAGCTCCAGCTGAAAATAAGGAGGAACCGAAAAGAGATAAAGCGGGAAGTAATAAAAAAGATTCGAATAATGAGGAAGGTGCCCGTTCGAGTAGCCCCAAGGTAACAGTCCCAATGGATTTGAGAGACCTTTCTTACCTCAAATTTCAGCTTTTGAGCTTGATTGATGTTTAGGAGCAGTCTGATTGGGGTGGTATATTCGACAAAACACAATGGGAACGAACAAGATTCGCCAAAGAAGCACAGGACTCGAAAAAATCTGGAGAAGGCGTGGACGAAAAAGGTAAGTGGGGTTGATGGGGTCGAAAAAAAGGAAAGTCTGCAATTACGTATTACCAGGACCAGAAGCTGATGAAAACCAGCCTAAAGAATCACAATTGATCGGAGAATCCAGGCAGATAGTATCTGTTAAAGGGCAGTATCTCAATGAAAAGCCTAAATTCACCATTACATTGCTGGTATTCGAACTGGTAGGTCCCGAATCATTCCTTATCATTAACTTCATCAGAGTTGTTGTACC